TTTATCCTTTTACCCCAGCTCAAGACAGAACCAGAACGCTTAGCAAACACTAACAATCTTACGAATGAAGACAAATTTATGTGTCCCAGGATAATGTTTCAAGATCGAATCTGGATCGGTCACTGGGACTAGAGGTTTACTCGACTAATAATCTTTCTATATTTGAATGTTAGTCCTGGCAAATTAAATTAACCATTGTGAAAAACTATAGCGTGGTTCCTGGAGCTGAAAATACTAGAATAAAAGCTCATTTCATCCTCATTTAGATCTGGCTGTTGCCAGTGAAGATTATGAAAGTTTTTGTTCTACTTTTTTGCTTTAAAAGGTTTATTCAAATGCTACTTTTTTCCTAGTGATCTTCATTGCCGCTGAGCTATTTTTCAGTCAGCTCTCTCCTGCTGGAGTTGGTAGGAACTACTTTCAAAACTGAAGAACAACCTACATCTCTGAACGTGTACTCACTGGAACAGTGATACGTTCCAGCAGTCTCTGTAGTGTCCATTTCCTGACACGGCTAACTCGAAGGAGTGACACTAATTTTCAGTACAACTCCATTGAATTTACTGTTTTTTCGCACGCTCTCTCTTGCACAAATTCACAAACTTCCATGAACATATTTAAAACCACTGCTTTAACCTCTGCGATTCTCACCTCAGGCTCCTTAGCATACAAGACATAGACTGAACACTCAAAATATTGATAGACAGTCTCCTCTCTGCTTCGTATTCTTTATTGTATCATCTTGCTCATTTTCTTAAGGCTACTACCGGTACATGAGGGCTCCAAAAGGCTGAATGAACACAGCAGGGCAACAAAAAGTTTTTGTTTTTGTTTTGTTTTTTTTTTGTAATTCCTTAGCGGCTACTGTTTATCTGGCTTTTTGCAGCCCAGACCTAGTAGCTCTAAGCCTTTCTCATTTCTTCTACTGTTCTCCTGCAACCCTACAATTCCAAACCTTATTAGATTGTGCCAGTTTTGATTTTTTTTACACTCCAACTTAAAATACTCCAATATTCTCCGGTTAGTTTTACTGCTACCACCAGGTTAATCTCTTAACTAGTATTTCTGGAAATACTTCAAAGCATACCAAAGGCTTCCCATCATTGACTCACTTTAAAAAAAAACGCTTCTGGATATGTTGGGGGCTGAAATTCATTCTGGAGCTATGGAAACTGGTGGTTAAAGGCCAGCACACCTAGTTGCCTGAGGAAGTGTTATTTTGAAACAATAAACTAAAATAAATCACAAGAATCAACAGGTTCTTCATGTGAAATATAACAACACAGGTGCCAACCTACAATCCAATTTGGCTTTCTTTTTGTAAAATAATGACATGGTGTAATATGTCACATATTGTTGTTCATCTGAGGTTGTATTTACCTGTGTTTAAGAACTGCTAAGGATCAGATTTTTTTTTACTATGTCCTGATATGTAAGACCATAGAATTCAAAGAGGGTGAACTTGCTTTTTCATATGATTGTATCTTGCCTTCAAAATGTTTTACCTGTAAGTAACACTAAGCAAGAACCTAAGACCAGAAAAGTGTAAGGTTTATTTATCTGTACATTTTGTACTCTGCGCTTTAGCCAGAAGAGTTCCAAGAGCGACTCAGATAATAAAAAGTAATCTACCTCCTGATTTCAGATTTACAATTTTTTTAAAAAAATCAAAAACATGATTATGACATAAGATAGAGAAGAGGTAGAGGAAAAAACAGATTTGGGCAACCCTGAACAATTAACAACTGGAAGTATCAACTTTGTTACATACTTTCCATTTATTTTTTCCTGATCTTTGGCAACAGGTAATAGTCTTGTCTTCTGTTCCCTCCTGCCTTTGCTGAATATTCCTATTAAGCCGACAGCTGAGGAAACCATTTTGTGGAGATAGCTTCCAATAACTCATGAATGTACAACTATCCTTTAGATTTCTCTTCACTTTCTAGTATAAACAAATCCAGTAATATTGCATAAGAAGAACAGAAATTTCTTACCAAGAGCCAAGTTTACCATTTATGTATTACATTAAAAATGAAGTAAGTATAATGATAGACAGGAAGTTGCTTTGTAATGGGGTAACAGCTCAAAGTGCTGGAAGGAGGGAGAGAAATTTTGTTTTTATTCTTTTACTTTAATAAAAATACAGCATAATAAAACTCTCTCCTAAAACAAGAAATATTCCACTGATCACCAAAAGAGTAATTTATTAGCCATATTCTTGTATGAATCCTCATTGTACGTTCTTTAGTAATCAGTGGAATTTTCTCATGCTTAAAAGAAAATGTAATTCCATCCCCCTTATTTATTTTGACTGTTTTTTTTTTGTTTGCTTTTTATTCTATTTTAAAGATAACATTTTGGGGACAAGACTTTTATACTATTTTTTAACCTGAGATAAACTGGTTGGCTGACTTTTTGTAACACTTTCTGCAGCCATTAGATCTGAAATCTCCAATGTAGGAGCCAGAGCATCCATGTTGTATTTTGCTGAAGTCCCGATCTCATCTTTCAAATACTCTTTTAATTGAAAAAAATGGAGGATTCAGCAGGTAGAAAAGGAAGGAAAGAATCTCCAAAAACACCTTTATTTTCAGGAATGGCCTCTGGGCCACAAACATTTTCTTAGAAAATGGCTTCAACCCAATGCACTTAGAAACATATGATTCCCAGCAGATAACAAAGTTAAGCAGAGATAAAAAAAAAATAGCATCCAGCAGCAGGGAGAGGAGGCAGTAATAGGTAACATTCTGGTAACTGTGTGATTTGTACCTTTTATGTCTTCCATGGTTGCCATTGAGGAAAGGGAAAGCTTACCCAGCTCCCATGTGGTAAAAGTGCCTACTATGTGCCCTCAAAACGCCAAATGAGTCCAACAGCCAAAAATGGACCCTCATCTGATATCACTTGGACTAGTCTGGTTAAGCATGTCAGTGAATAACTTTAAGGAAAGGGAATGGATTATAGTTTTGGGGGAAAATTTAAACTGAAAGAGCATCTATATACAGTATATTACATCCTGAATACTAGTGAAATTTATATTAACCACCTTAAATTAGATTGGTTTCTCTCTCTCAGATCGCTAATTCTTTTAATTGCAAATATTAAATGATTGCTTGTCCCTTCAAGGAAAACTACGACCCAATGCATTTTTTACATAGTACCTACTGTGTTTGAGAGGCTACCTGGCTTCCAAGGCCTAAAGCTGATATTTACCTTGATCACCTACGTTTTTACTTGTGTTGTAGTTTTTCAAGTGGGGCAGGATCCACCCTAGAGTGCACCCAAGTTAACAGCATTCAGAGGCATTGAAAGAAATTAAAAGAGCAGCTAATGCAGCAAATAACCAATACTGTTTGAAAGGCTGCTTTGCATCAGGCAAAACTGGCAAGGTCTATTAGAAGGAATGGGAACCCAAAAAAATGTCACATTGTTCAGGATCTGTTGAAAGACCAATCCAGCTTTTGCTGCTGTAAGTTTCTATTTTAGCTTCTGAGCATGCACTTACAAAGATCCTGATGTTATTTATTGTTTTGCTTACCTCTTTAACATGGGTATGAAAAGATACAGACATGTCCAGTAAGATTTTGCGCTGCTCCACCCGCCGAACAAAATCTTGTATCCGGTCTTCCAGCTGATGGGCTGCTTGATAAATCTCTTCCGGGTCACACTCTCCTGTCTGTGCCAGCTGCTCAGCTGCTTCTAGCACTTTGTCTGCATTAGTATATGTATTCTGCAGAAATGGCAAGAGAATAAGAGTTGCAGAGGGATTTTACAAACATTTATATTGACCCATAAACAATTCCCAAACCCCATTTTGTAGCCTCTGATGTCTTTCAAGGCTGTATGACTGAAATCTAGCAGCACATTGCTGAAGCATGATTTCCAATCAAGATTTGGTGGTAAATGGAAGAAACTATGTATGTCAAATTTCTAGTAGGTTTCATCTTCCTCTAAAAAAAGGAAGAAGCAGAGTATAAATCCTGGGTTCTCTGGTGATATCATCGCCCTATCTTTTGAAGACCCATGACTACAGTATCTTTAAACATGACTTAAACATGGTTTAAGATACTGCACTTACAGGAGAACATTTGCAAGTCTGTCATTTACCTTCACATTCACAACTGATTTCGGTAAATGCTTTTAAGATTATCTTATGTTATTTGCTTTGTGTGCAAAAATTGAAAGGAAGGTCATGCACAGCCCTTACAGTCAAGGAAGAAAGGCGGGATACGCTGTAATAAATGTGTTTATTAAATTATTCAACAAAATAATAACAATAAAACAACCTATAGCTATTTCATATCACCAGGGATCACTGGATTACAGGGTTTTCAAATGGGATCTATTTAAATCTTCAGCAGTTATCAATGGAACACACAACCCGTGATATACCCATGTGACCCAACCAATTTCAGAAGGGCTCTATATTATTAATTGACATGAACAAAATCTTTCTAAAGAAAAGGGGAGGGTAAAATGAGAGCTGGGGACTTATGAGAATTGACGTCCATACTTCTTAAAGGTGACATCTTTTAAAAACACTATTTAAATGGTTTCAGTACTTGTTTTTAGAGTAATCAAGGTTGTCACTGCTTTTTTATCCCCCAACTTTGAAAAATCATCTGGGCTCAGCTCTTATAAACATTTGCAACTTTAATTTACAGGAACTGTCTTGCCACTATCCTACTGCTTTATTCCTTTGGCTACAAAATGTCATAATGTCTCAGAAGGATTCTGGAATGATACAAATATTATAATAAATAGACAGATTTGCTGGCAGACATCCTTGTATTTTTTTTTCCTCTTTGCATATGTGCCTTGCAACCACAATCAAACAAATACTTGTTTATCAAATAAAATATCAAGCTACTGAAAACTATGCTTGAATACTATGACTGTAAATAAGCTTCCTCATCACGTAAACAAGAAATCATCCCCCCCCCCCACAGGCTAAATAAATCATAAGAACTCAAAGGTAGTTTGAGTACATTGTACAGTACTCATTATATTTTGTCACGCCTCTCTGACATCTTCAAATGCAACTGAAATCACTGTACAGGGAGAAGTCAGATGTGAAGGATCTCTCCTATAAACTACCATGCTTCTACTTTTTTGTGGAGGTATACAAAAAAATTCTATTCTGAAACATTGTAACTTTGTAATGTTTTGCCCATGTCTTACATATTTGGCCATCATGCGCTCTGTAGAAAGAGAATAAAATGCTCAATAATTCAAGACTAATGGTTACATGAGCAATCTATATTCTAGAGCCATGGTGGCGAACCTATAGCACATGTGCCACAGGTGGCACGCAGAGCCCTCTTTGTGGGCATGCGCGCCATTGCCCCAGTCCTAGGCCTTCAGCTGGGTTTTATAAAACCTTTTCCTTTAGGCCTCCGCTGCTGTGTGCAAAAAAAAAAAAAAAAAATGGTTCAATCAATCAATCAATTTCAACTTCTCGTGGGAAAAAAAAGATCTCGCAAAGTTGGAACTGATTGATTGAACATTTTAGTCCACCCAGTCTGCCGTTACCACCGCAGCCGTTACCACCCAATTGACCACACCCACCCAATTGACCACACCCACCCAAAGGGCCACGCCCACCAGGCACCCGACGATACATAAATGGGTTTTGGGTTGCAGTTTGGGCACTCGGTCTCTAAAAGGTTCGCCTTTACTGTTCTAGAGTTAGTGAGCTGCCTAATAGTTCATTTCTAATAATGTACATACTTCCAGGTGGTATAGGGAATGTTCAGAACAGCAACTGGCAGCAATAGAAGCCCAGCTATTTCAAAGTGGCTACAAACTTTCCCACAGTTCAGGCAATGAAGAGATACACACAGAGAGATTTGTATAGGTGAGTGCAAAGTGTAGCTTTAGGGCAGATAATAATACCTGCCTTGTTGGTCCATTTTCCAAGAGGGCCCTAGTCACAGGGAGCCAAGGATAGGTGACTCTGCTTTTCTTTGGTGGTGCTCCTGATTTGGAATAACCCGTTCCCCCATTAAATTCATTCTTCCTTATTGGTTTTCAGGAAGTTATTGAAAATTGGATTATTTGGGAGAGCGTTTTCTTGTTTGCCTGCAGGGCACCATCTCTATTATTTTTATTTACCTTTATTTTTTGGTCCTTTTTATGTTGGATGTTTTAACAGTTTTTATACTATATATCTTGAGAGTACATTGACTGTGGCAAGGTACAAGTTCAAAAAATAAATGAACAAATGCATCGTATAAGTGTTTTGGGCAGAAAGAAATGAATAAACAATTAAACGGATTTCTTTGGTGCAATTTTTAAAAGATTACTTTAGAAGAGATTTTATATGGCTATTTATTGGATTTATCCAATGGGCAGAAAGGTTTTAAACTTAATAGCCCACTAAAGGTAGTCCTCGACTGAACGACCACAATTAAACTCAAAATTTCCATTGCTAAGCAAGGTAGCTGTTAAATGAGTCTGCCCCATTTCACAGCCTTTCTTGCCACAGTTGTGGAGTGAATCACTGCAGTTACTAAGTTAGTAACACAGTTGTTAAACGAAGCTGGCTTCCTCATTGACTTCGCTTATCAGAAAGTCGCAAAAGGGACACTGCAACCATCCTAAATAGGAGTGAGTTGCCAAGCATCTGAATTCTGATCATGTGACCATGGGGATGCTGCAATGGTTGTATGTGTGAAAAACAGTCATAAGTCACTTTTTCAGTGCCGCTGTAACTTTGAATGGTCACTAAACCAACTGTTGTAAGTCGATTCTCCTTTTCCCACTACACGAGTAACAAATGTATGTCTGTGTGTCAGGATTTTTTTAAAAAAAATAACCCAACTGGTTACTGAATTTATAACTGTCAATTAAAATTAATCACCCGTAAAATAAATTACCCCATTTATAAATGAGCTTGATTCCCTCCTCTAAATAACTTTTTAACATTTTTATTGAAAGACACAAAAACTGCCTCATGGATATGTTCCATCAGGCATAGTAAAGAGGGAAGAGGAGAAACAAGATGGACATGATGCGAAGGAAAAGGGTACTTTTATTAAAGGGGGGGGGGAAACCTGGATGGAGAAGAGCAATGGGGAGACAAAGAAAGAAAGGGGGAAAAAAGATTAAAAGTCAGACCCTGAAAGGCGCCTATGCTTTCAAGCTACAATGTTTGCAACCAGTTCCATCTCCTTGTTTCAAACTGGTTGCAAACACTGGGCACCTTGAATGCCAAGAATAGTTGCCAGTGGTGAATTCCCTACCTGTGCCACTTCTTCAAAGTCTTCGTGGCGCTTCTGCAGTGCCCTGGCTCGATGCAAGGATTTCCCAACTCCTGTATGTTTACTAAGGAAAGCTTCTCCATGGTTTTCGATCCAATCCAGCACCTGCAAGACAGATCATCATGAACGAAATCCAACTGTATATTTGTAAGTTGCTTCTAACGGGTTCTGCTGTTGTGGAACGTAATAGGCTAAATCAGTTGAAGCCATAATTCATTATTTTCCTAACAGTCTTCCCTAAAACGTTTTGTGAAACATGGAATATAGATATTTCAGGGACAAATTCAAATATCAGTGAAAATCCAGCAATTATTAACGTTCTTACTCCATATGAATCCTACCTTAGGATTTATATATGCATAAAAACATCCACTGCCTGGCTAGCATTTTTCTCATGTATTGATGGCATTGTTATAAGTCCAGTAGTTTAGACATTCAGACTGGTGGCAGTTTCTCTCACCAGAGTTTGCAATGATAAAAAAACAAGTACCCCATTTATTGATGAGTTTGTAAACTAAGCAATCAAAATTGTCTCCTATGGGGATGTGTGCCCTGCTAATAGAAGAAACATCCTTCTGAAATCAGCAAAACTCCATCTACTCCAGCAATCATTCTCACAGTCAGAAAATTTTGGAAAACTGCTTAAATTAAATTAAATTATACTGAGAGAAAACACTCTCCTACCTCAAAGATTGATACATAGAGCTGTTTCTAAATTCTAAATTCAAGAGATTACTTTTCCATGCCACTATCCAATAGAATGTGCATGCAGGCATATATCACCAGTATCTTCTGTAAACCACAGATTCTATGTCCTATCTGCAAAACTCCTTGATAGATAAATCCATACAGAAGATCCCTGAGGACGTGATGTTTGAAAGTCACTGAACTGAAATGCAATTTTATCCTGACCCACGGAGCTGCCCCCTTGTGCTTAACCACAAAGTGCAAGATTTCAATTGAACCATCTGGCAAAAATTTCTTTCCATTCACTTGCTTTCCATTCCATTCAAGTTCCAATGATTTTACTAATCAGAATCTATTCAGTAACTAAACATTCTGGGAACTGAGGCCAACGTATACATCCCTATACCATGGCAATTAAAGCAGTAACTGAAACAAGATGTTCCCTATTCTGCAAATTCTCTACAGATACATCATACCAGCAAGCATTTGTAGAACTAAGGAGCTCTTCCTTGAATATGAAGCTTAATTCAGCCTATACAAGACATGTTTGGGGGAATGGCATGTCCTGTACCAGTCAACTTTACCCTGGAGCCTGCAAAGGGAACCCTTATTCATCAAGCATCTGCTTAAATTAGCCTGAGATATTATATTCACTCTTTTGACTAAAATTCATTATATATCAGTTCTGCCCTGACCAAGCACCCCTCAAAGATATTACAAAATTAAAAATATTACAAGAAAAGTGTATGACTTCTGCTGAATCTGACTTCTGATCCTTTGGTTTAATCTTGACTTATTTGGGCTAGCAATAGCTCTCCAAATTCTCAGAACCACTGTTTGATATCCTGTATAACCACAAAAGGCAGCAAAAGAAAAATAAAACCATGCCTTTATCATTATGTCATCAACTCTATAAAGAATCTTTATGCCTCTGTCTTAGTCATATTCCAAGGAAGTACTTAGCCAACACATTAACAAAACGAACCCATTTTCTTTCATCATTCTTACATCTGGCAAGCGTGGAGTCCATGAATCTAAAGCAACATCTCAAAAACAACAACAAAAAAATCTCATTCAAACATTGCACTATTATGGATGATTGCAATATAGAACCCAAACTACAATTTGAGTTTCAAAGCATGTGCTAAAGCCATTATTTAGAGTTACTAGTCTACTTTAATTTTCATTCTAATTCCATTCTCAATATGTGGAATTTTTCAGAGGCATCCACCAACCATATTTTTATTTTGTTATAGTTGTATCCTACCTTTTCTTCATAAGCTCAAAGCATCTTACATTGGATCTCCCTTCTTCCCCCCCCCCCATAACAATAGGGAGAGATATGAGATAAACTAGCATGAAAGAAATAAATGGCCCCAAATCACCCAGTGAATTCCCACAGCTTGAGATAGAAGCTGAACTGAGTGTCTTTAGTGACTGTCCAAAAGCTGTATTATAATAGAGAAAATAAGTTACCCTTTGATCCTACTGCTATTATAAACCTAGTGAGATCATCTGTTGCCATGGAGTGAGATATTATCACTATGCTGATGATACCCAATGAGACATCTCTGCCCCTGGCAAATTAAGCAATGCTATGGATGTCTCACCCAGGTGTCTGGAGGCTGTGAGGATCTGCATGAGGAACAGGCTTCAGCTGACCTGTGGCGAGAGTGGCATTGGGTTTTGGGGCCTGCTGGTTCTAAAACCATGCCATTTTTGGTGCTGCATGGTTCTGAATTGTATGTCCCCAGTGAGCAGTGTGACGGTTTTCTTGGACTCGAAACTCCTGCTCAAAGAGCAGGTGGTGGTTGTAGCTAGAAGGGCCTTTGGACCATTTGTGTTGTGCATCAGTTCCTGTCCCTGAACTTGAGGGTTCTGCTCACAGTTACTTGTGCCCTAGTCACTTCCTGGTTCGATGTCAGAATCCAATTATATTTCATCTTTAAATTATCAAATATAGAAACTCCCAATTCTGCCTTCTCTGGATTCTGCCATAAGAGGGAGAGAAGGGGGAGAACAAAGGGGGCTTTATGGCCCTCACTTCCTTCTTTACACTTCAAAGAGCTGAATGCTGAATGTGTGTTTATTGTAACCTCGAAGCGTTAACATACCAAAGGAGGGAAGTTGCCTTTCATGTAGTTATCTGAAGTCTCCATCCAGACGGAAGAAAGAAGAAAGGGAGTGGAATTGTGATACTTGAAACTATCACTGGAAGGGGGGTTGATTGGGTGGGACTACTGGGGAACCCCTTAAAACCTTGAATGGGAGAGCTTGGACCCCAAGTCCTGTCTAGCATGCCTGCAACCATTTTCTCTTAATAAAGGATTCCTGTTGGAAGAATTATTCCAAGAGTTCTGTCTTCTTAAGATGCAAAGTGGGGTGGGTCCTTACATTCAGTTATTGCAATGTACTCTACTTCGAGGCTGTCCTTGAAGAGTAACTGGGAACTTCAGATGGCGCAAAATGCAGCAACATGCACAGTTATGTGTGCTTTTCGAACAGCACGTTACCTCTGCTCCATGAGCTGCATTGGCTGCCAACATGCTTCTGAGTCCAATTCAAGGTACTGGCTTTGTCCTTTAAAGCCCTTCACAGCATAGAGTCTGGTTATTTGAAGGATAACATCTGCACATCCCATCAGATCTGGCAAGAAAGGCCATGTTCCAGGTCCCATCAATCAGGGATCTACAATTAGCAGGCCCAAGAAAATTGGCCTTATCTGCCTTGGTGCTCCTCTTGTAGGTTCTCCCCCCTCCCCAAAGTCAGATCACATCCATCCCACTTTATTTTCTGGAAATTCATCAAATCTTGGCTTTATCATTAGGCCTGGGGGTCTCAGGAGACTGGTGAGATCTCGAGGAGGCTCTGTTGTTGATCAAATCTCTTGTGCTGAGTTAGACATGGCTATTGTTTGACTTTTTTTTCTCTGTAGGCTGGCCAGAGTCACTTTTTGTGCTGGCCAGAGTCACCTCTTAGCCAGATCACTTCTTAAGTCATGGTATTCATTTGAACCACAAACTTTTCACTAGCCAGCTTGGGGTAATGGCTTCTCCTGAGTTAGAAATAGGTTGTGAGTTCTAGTCCTTCCTCAGGCACAAAAGTCAGCTGGCTAACTCTGGGCCAGTCATTCTTTCTCAACCATAAAGTGCTCTTGTGGGGAATATAGGAAATTAGGCATGTACAATTTGTGGCCTCCAACAAAAACTGTACACCAGGGGTCTTCAAACTTGGCCCTTTTATGACTTGTGGACTTCGACTCCCAGAATTGCTCAGCCAGCATGCCTGGCTGAGGAATTCTGGGAGTTGAAATGCACAAGTCATAAAAGGGTCAAGTTTGAAGACTCCTGCTATAGACCTATTGCATGTAATTTTGATTCTAACTCACAAAGGTAGGCACATGCTGACGTTGGTACATACTTTATAGCAGATGTCATCTGGATATGGAAGTTGTGTGTATCAGTGTTTTGCTGCGCTCACATCACTTTTGGGCAAAGTTGTGGATTGTTTAGTTCCTTACTCCTCCATAAGGGCAAAACTCCTATTAAAATGGTTTGCCCCAAACACTTGATGATTCTTGCTTCTTTTGTGAGTGATTTTGTGGATGATTTGGTAGATTGTTCAGTTTTTGAATCTAGTTGATTCCTGGCAGTGTGAGATGATTATAGTTCTGGATAAGATTATTTCTACAAGGCCCCTTTCCACTTGCCAATCAGGCAGCTCACTAATATATCAAGGAGCTAGAAGTGATTAAAAAGACTTCTGAAGTGATGATGGCATAAGATTAAAAAGTGAACATGACTAAACAGTGAAACAAACCCAGGTTTGGGCTTAGCACTGATAACAGGAACAGCAAAATGTTTGTTCTCCATTCTTGTTGTCTCTATAAACATCTGCCAACATGTTTAAAGTTACCAGGTTCTCTTATGGAGAGGTGAGAGCAATGAGATGGCAGTAGGCTCCATAGATGCTTTCTGCAGATTTCTTTATGGATGAGCTGACTTTCATTTGCCAAGATCTGGATATTTCATGGGTAGAACCATTTGATATAAATGGAATAGAATGGCATTTGGCAATGCTATCTAGGATTCCTTTAAGCTTGTGCAATCCAAGGAAGAGGAAAGGGTCCTCTATAGTATGAGTTTCAGAAGGACACAGCTCCCATCTGGCTCCCAAAACCAACCATTTCAGTCTTCATTAATTGGAGGAGCCAGTTCCATTTGTAATAGGAGGACGTTAGTTCCCCATTAGCTCCTAGTTAATTAAATTGAACCCCATGGCAGTGGGAATTAGCATGTTGATTATATGGTTTCCACTGCTTTTATATTTTATTTACCAGACAAATAGGTCCTGCCCATGCTGGCTCCTTACTAATTCTATTGCTTTATTTTGAAAATTGAGCTCCTCCTCTCTGTTTATATATTTGGGTTAATTCTCTTTTTGTGTACCTCGGGATATCCAACTGGGCTTTGGAAATCACCTGACTCCTCAAAGAGCGCTCTTCTTCAACTCTTCAGTAGTTTTCTGTTTTTGAAGTCTCTGGCCATCATTCTTTGCAGTACATCAAGAACACACAAGCAAAGACATGTATTCGATCTACATTTGGGTGGCAAGAGCTTCACTTAATATTTGTAGATGCACTGAAGGTCTCAAAGTGAATGGCATCACCAAACCAATGAGAAGAGGGGTGACATTTCAAGGAGAGAGTTTTTGAGATGTTTCTCATTCAGACCTTATAGGTAACACTCATTTCAATTTTCAATATTCAAGATCAGACAGGATTTTAGGTGGCACTTGGCCCTGGAACTGCCAGCTGTCCAGCAGAAATCTACTGGTATATCAGTGCTACAGTTCCACCCTTCCTTCTTCAAATTCAGTATTTTATTTTAACCTACTTTTGTAAACGCAACAAATCAAGATAATAGGAAAGTGCACTGGCTGAGAATTTTGCTTTTTAAAACTTCCCCTTAGAGCAAGAAGATGTAGGTACCCTCTGCATGCAGAATCCCCAATACTAGGAGATATGGACTGACCTGTTGTACATCCTGTTGAAAGACACAGAGTTGAAGCCGTTGATGTAAGCGAACTTTTCGATGTTGCCAAATGTTCTCCAACTGCCTCTGGTGATGCAGCACTTCATGAATAACATCTAGGACATGGTGCACTGCCTTGGAGTAGTTGGCTGAAGCAGTTAGGGAATCTGAGCTTCCAGGTGTCAAAGGTCGTTGCAGTTTGTCAAGGAGTGATTTCCCATCCTGACTTACCTAGAAAGTAAGAATGACGGTGTTTACATACTGGCCGCAGAGTTCTATAATATGGAATTGCAACACTGCTTTTGCCAATTCGATGTATCTTTACAAGAATAGCATGTTGGAGTTTATTTTGGATGAAATCAAACAAGTAAGAAGGGATTCAAGATTTTATTTCAACTACTTCCCCTGATCGAGAAATCCTACTTCTAGAAATCTTTCAAGTTGTAAGACTTTATTGGAGAGGCTAGACTTCAGAGGTAATGAATTCTTATAGACCTAAGTCTTGGTCTATAATAGCAGTCACTGTTAAAATTCCAAGCTTGTTAAAATGCAAGCCATTTTGCTTTAATTTTACTATTTTTCTTCAAAATGAATTGACGCATTTGTCTTCACAGACCATAATATTGACTTCGAAAAGAGGGAGATGATGTGTTTATAGTTACATTTACACATTTCTATGTGTAACCCTAAGAAACAAAAGGTTTCAGATGCAGCATGCAGAGGGGAAAATTGCAATCGTTTGATAATAAAGTTATGTAGTCAAGAACTATGCATCAGGTTAAATATAGGTACAATATCCATGTTCCCAAGATGTCATGGTATCAATAAACATTAAAATATAAGGTTTTCCAGAAGTTTCTAGATAGACCACGGGTCTTCAAGCTTGGCCCTTTTATGACTTGTGGATTTCAACTCCCAGAATTCCTCAGCCAGGCCCCATAAAAGGGCCAAGTTTAAAGACCCCTGAGATAGACAAAAGCTTCTGGTTGATTGGTTTGGACTGGATTATTCTTATTTCTATATTGGCATCCCTATAGCTGTGTAATGCAGAAAGAATCCTTCTGTCTCAGGAGCTTCTGCAAACAAGCAGTTAATAGTGCAGAAAAGAGAGAGAGATAAGATACCGTCTAACAGAATCAAAAGTTGACACAGTCATGGAGAGGTTTCTGGCCATGTGGAGACTGCCTTAACAGAGAAAGTGTAAAGGTAAAGGTTTTCCTGTCCAGTCATGTCCGACGCTAGGGCAGTTAAAGATGCTGAGCTTGTCAGCTGGAAAGCCCGGGTTCGAGACCCAAGTACTGCGAAACAGGGTGAGCTCCCGTTCTTTGCCCCAGCTCCTGCCCATCTAGCAGTTCGAAAGCATGCAAATGGAAGTAGATTAATAGGTACCTTAACAGAGAATTAAGCTTAAAATGAGACATACTTGATGGTGACTGCTCACCGTCAAGGTTTCCTACACTCATTTGACTGAAAACTCTCATCAGCCTCTCTAGCCTGAGTGAACTGAAAACAAACTACTTAAACATCAAGCCTTCCTCAGGAGGGTACCTGGGCATGCCTGAAAGGGACCATGCAACATTATTATAAATTAAGTTACTTTCACCATCTGTCTTCAATCAAATTTTAAATATGACTCTGATGGCACAAGTACTTTGTAATCAATCTGAGGTTTGACACACCTCTTTTGGCTACAATTTATTGAGGTTTATTGAAGAGAACAACATTCTTCCTTTATCTTTATAACTCTGTTTTGTATATGCAGAAACAGGACTTTGATATTTTTCGCACTTCCTAGAAAGGAAAATAAATTACTCAGTATTCAGATTGTACAAGCTTGCCTTCTTCCCTTTTCATGATCAGTCTGGACTGAAAAATGAATGCTTCAATGGGAAGTTGTCATTTAAGGAAGCTTTTTTTTTATAGAAATAATAAACATCATTTGTAGGAAGGGCCAGTAAATAGGTTTTATAAATGGCAGAAAATACATCGTCAATAGTTGGGTTAAACTGTTTCAAATGCCATGTATAAATAGATAAATGCTGAACTGCATAAATAGATAAATGTTTCATTTTAAAAGATTCTGAGTGTGAACTGTCCAAAATGCCTTGCTTTAAACTTAAAGGCAAACTTCATTCTGGAGCCTTTCTGGAAGCATCTCAAGCTTGAAACAGAGGCGTTCCAAATTTGAAGCATTTTGTTTCCAAATTCAAAATGCTTCCAAAATGCTTAGAGCAGACTGTTTTGCATTTTAAAAAAAACATAAAACAGTAACAAATCCAAAAACACCTCTCATGAAATTTCATGAATTAATTTTTTTAAACAATCCTATGTACAAACATTTAAACAGAACCAGGAAGGGGAAGATTTGCAGCCTGAATTTCTTTCCGATACATTATTTAAAAAAAAAAAAAAAAAAAAAATCCTGGAAGGATCCAAATACAGGAGTAATTTTCCTCCTCTCTTCTCTTAAAAAAAAAGTGTTTGATTTTTATGTTGCCATGAGCTTTGGTTATCCTAAAGATTGAGCTTTGAAAATCGGGTACTTGATTCCTATCGTAAGAATGGCTGCTGCTTTTGCATAAGGTCATAAGAATAAGCCTTGACTAGTTATCAGTTATGACTTATACACATCTTTCAGCGAAAAGATTACTCAGGTGTATCAACATGTCCTGATTGGAAATGTTGATTTACTGCTATCAACACAGCTCATACTTAAGAGATATGGAAATTTTAGCTAGCGATATTGTCTACTAACTCGAACTATACAGTGCTGGTTCAGATGCTCATTCCCCCCCCCCACTCTTTAAAGGAGATGAGGAACTGCCTTCATAGCACAGTGAGAATAATATGAGATGTCAAGTTTATATTAATGCAGGATCCCACCACTGCTGTGAGAGAGAAAAGTGTCCTTGATCTTATTACAGAGGCATTCTGAAATATAAGGCCTGACAACAGTAAGTAGAAAATTGAAATAATTTTATTTAATCACAAAGTCACCAGCACTATATTTCTATTTCTTAGTGATAATTGGAGCAGCAGTAAGCCTGAACTGCTAATGTACTGTAAATGGTTGTAAAATAACCAACAGACATCACTTAAAAATGATATAAATAATTTCAGCCACTGAATTTAAAAAAGAAACTGTAGCCATATAATTTAGTGCAAAGCAGGAATGGTTTTTAGTTATAGTAAAAAAAAAAAGATTGAACAAATGTGATTTCTTGTTATTTAAAAGTTGAGGTGAGAGCATAAGAAGTATTTCTAATCCTTTTGGATTATCACCCAAAATGAAGCTGGAGAGACCAGTTTTGGCGATGGATCCAAAGTTCTTTGGGCAAATTTGATAGAGCCACAGTTGTAGCCTATAAATCAGTGGTTCTCGACCTTTTTAATGCCGCGACCCCCCAACCGGTCGTAAGTCAAGGACTACTCAACCGGTCGTAAGTCGAGGACTACTCAACTGGTGCAGCATTGTTTGCAGAATGGGGCTTTTGGTGGGCTCAGCAGGGCAGAGACAGCCTGGACAATTCCTATTGGCTTTTGAAAGCCAATAGAATTAGACTCTATTCAAGAGAGTCTATTCTATTGGCTTTCAAAAACCAATAGAATAAAAGGGAGTAGCAGAGCTAAGGAAAAGGGGGGAAAAATGGTGGACTGTGTTGTTTGGCGACCCCCGTGAAATGGTCGTTCGACCCCAAATGGGGTCCCGACCCACAGGTTGAGAACCACTGCTGTAAATGAAGGGTTTCCAAAGCAGAAACCCTAATATATAGGAAACTTTTTCTATAGATGATGCTTTTAAAGAACAACTTGGGGGAGAAGATTGTTTTCAAAAGCAGAAGCGAGAGAAGTATATCTGAAAGCAGTCATGTTGGCTAATTCAACAAACCATTTTAAAATCATGGCTTAGCACAGTAAGTGAACTGAAGACTGTTCATGTCTGACCATTTCTTTTGTAGCCATTGTCAAACCACCTAGTAGAGCTGTATTACTATTTCTATTATCCTTCTTATCTTTCCCATTACCTATTTCCTTAGCTCCTTATGACTATAACTTTGTTGTTTGTGTCTCATAATTTAAGTTGATTGCTTTTATTTAGTATCCTATTATGATTTATGTTGATTATTTAGTATCTTATGACTGAGTGTTGTATCTTATGATTTATGATGCTTGTATGTTATGATCATGATTTATCACTTGTTGCTGGTATGTACGCTGAGAGCTCATGGACCAGAGACAAATTCCTTGTGTGTCCAATCACACTTAGCCAATAAAAGAATAAAAATTGCATCATTTCACACATATTTAGTATCATTTTACTTCAAGGGTTTACTTAACGGAGCTGCAATCAAACTACATGCCAATTAAATATGATAAATATTTTGTTACTGCAAACTTAAATGGGCATTAAAAGCATCTCTAGATAGTTTTTAAAAATTCCACAGTGATGCCAAGTTAATTTATTGAAGCAAGCACAATTGCTTCCTAGCATCCTAAGGGCAAACATATCCCCATAAGAAACACAATTTGCAGACCAAAATCTTCTTCATCAAATTTCTTAATTCTTAATCTCAGTTGCTTGGCATATGTGTCTAAGAGCCAGTTTGGTGTAGTGACTCAGGTGCTGGCCTAGAAACTGAGAGACTGAGTTCCAGTCCTTCTCTTGGGTATGAAACTCATTGGGTAACGTTTAGCCAACCACTCTCTTTCAGCCTGACCCATTTCAAGTTTTGCTTTCTTCCTCATAAACACATAAATGATAAAGTGAACTCTGGTTCACAGAATCTTGTACTGCAGTAAAATAATAAAAGTTATTATTCTTTCAAATGCCACAGAACTTATTTTCATTGTTTTTGCTAAATGTATGATCACTGTTATATTATTATGCACAAGCCCTTTGTATATTTTTAATATGGCAAACATTATACTCACAAGCTGGAAATAGAATATCACCTACCTCAGAGTATGCCAGGGTAATATGCTCATATATTCCTTGGTGATGGTGAATAGCATCCTCCAAATCTTGTAGTTCTGAGGGAAGTTCTACTTCACCACAGGCCTTACACCATGAATCCACGTTACTCATGTACTAGGAGGAAAAAAAAATCTTCACTACAAGCATTCCCACTAAGAAACAACATCAAGTTCTCTGAGCAAGCACTTTTTTTTTTTTTTACAGAATGAGCTCCTCTTTTCAAATGTAAGTTTTTTCCCCTTCATTAAAAAGCAGACAAAGTTTTGTAGCTGCTAACATAATTTCAAGTTTATTTCCACTCTGGCTCCTCCAAAATATAAAAATGATTCCATTTCAAAAAAGAATTACCAATTCATTTCACTATCCTCTGCAAAACAGAGCGGGTTGTTAAAAAGAAAAGAAACACTTTAGTAATATGAGAAATCTTTGTTAGCTATGGAGAGGCTTGGAAGAGGAAACAAACACATATGGAAACATTAAAACTATCTGAAGCCAAACCTCAATTCACATGCAAAAGAATTCCAAATGAATCCAAAAGAGTTCAGCTGCAATCTCTGGCACCAGAAAATCAGATCAAATCATTTGCTTCTATCATCCCCACCATCAATACTGTACACACTCAAGAGACACATTGCATTAATACAATAACTTGCAATTCATGGATTGTTTTCTTGTTTTGTGTGGGAAAAGTACACAATTAAGTATCCAATCAAACAATTAATGAGGTTAATCCATTTAATCCAAATAGACTCCTCTACATTCTAGTTTTATTTCTCCTGGAACAGAAAATAGCCAAATAAAAATAATTTGCTTCTTTTCTTTTATAAGAATATACATTCCACACAATTCAATGGCATTTTGATGTATGAACCCATCTTTTTAAGGTTTTAAGGCAGATGAAGAGGAGGCATGTTTTCCTCAACAATTTCTGTACTATTTATATGTGCCTCAGGGATACAAAGATACTCAAAATGATAACATCTTTTAAGTTGGTGTTGACTCTTGGGGAAAGTAGAAAGTGTCTCCCTATCTTAATCTGGCAGAATGTTTATAAAAAAAAACTCACCTCAGTGACAAAGCCAGCAGGGAGCAAATATGATTAGTAAATCAGTCACAAATGATATGAATGTACAGATGAAGTTGTACATACAGATGAAGTCGAGTAGCCCATTATGTTATTTCAGATAGAGTTCTTGTCAATTTGAGGGGGGGCGTTACTAGAAATTAAATTTTCTATACACAATTTAGCATCTGTGGAATTCTTCACATTTCAGTAATCTCTCCATACTGTAATAGGGCAACTCCCTGGAGCAAACCTAGAACATACTACCTGAATTCATGACTTTTTGCCTTTACTATTCTTATTTTGCAAACTAGCAATCTACAGTTTTTGTGGCTGCATTACAACAGCTCTCAAGGCAAGAGACAGTGACCTGTTTAAAGTGCTCAGATCAAAAACAGATCATTCACTAGTTTGGAAGGAATGCTTCCCAGCTGCATCACATTCATTTAAGGCCCTTGATAATAAAATATAATTTAAGTAGGTGGCAGTTATTTCATTCTAATATGAGAAAATCTAGGGGGTTTTGACACAAGCCTTGGAAAATATACCGTATATGCCGGCGTATTAGGCGACCCGGCGTATAAGACGACCCCCGTCTTTATAGCTGGGCCGCATTCCTAGAAAGTCGTCTTATACGCCGGAAACTACCAGTATTTCCGGCGTATAAGACGACTCGGCGTATAAGACGACCCCCGTCTTTGGCGCCGATTTCAGCGCTCGCGGAAGTCGTCTTATATGCCGGCATTTACGGTACTTTTCATTGGATTGGATCTATGAAATCAAATGATCTTTTCCCAAAATAATCAGCCTTCCAGCCAACCTATCATAGAGCTGTTTGCTTAATGGAAGAAAAGACAATAATGTCAAAGGAGACTGTTATAAAGAACAGCAGAGCTGAATTCTCAACCATTAGAAAACCCCAACTACACTAGGGAGTTGATTTTTGTGTGTATGTGTGTGTGTCTACTATATGATTAGCAGGAAGCAGGGGGCCTGGTTTGGGTGTTCAAAGTATGACTGAGATTCAATCAAGTTATGAGAGCAATGTTTCTCTGCTTAGTAATGAGGAACAGCTGCAGCCTAGAGCAGTGGTTCTCAACCTGTGGGTCGGGACCCCATTTGGGGTCAAATGACCATTTCACGGGGGTTGCCAAACAATGCAGTCCACCATTTTTCCCCCTTTTCCTTAGCTATGCTACTTCCTTTTATTCTATTGGCTTTTGAAAGCCAATAAAATAGACTCTCTTGAATAGAGTCTAATTCTATTGGCTTTCAAAAGCCAATAGGAATTGTCCAGACTGTCTCTGCCCTGCTGAGCCCGCCAAAAGTCCCATTCTGCAAACGGTACTGCACCAGTTGAGTAGTCCTCGACTTACGATCAGTTGAGTAGTCCTCGACTTACGACCGGTTGGGGGGGTCGTGGCATTAAAAAGGTTGAGAACCACTGGCCTAGAGGGAGATAATTTGGGTGTATCTTGTGTCATCAGCAAGCAAAGGAAGTCCCTAAGACTCCGAACTTTATTCTTCATTACCCAAAACCACTTATCAGAAAATCTTATCAAACTTTCAGTACAGTCCAAGTCCTTCCTTCAGCACCGTCATACCTCTGAACAATTGCTGAATGAATTGTCGTAACTTAAGGACCTCTATTATAAAAACAATATTGTTGAGTGATGTTTATGTCATCTCAACAAATTATTATTAGCAGTTTCATCTTTATGGGAATACTCTGGGAGATTTCTGAATATATTTTAGTGCACATGTCAATCTTCAAGTCAACTTAAATGTCCCTGTTATGATGGGTAATGGGTTTGTGAAGACACTTTTATCCAGTTTGGGGTAATTTACCCAGGTTTGGGTATCACTGTCCTAAGTGATAGCATACAAGTCCTGATTGTCCCAATATGCTCTCCAATCTAAAACACACATACCAGGTAAGAAAGTTAGGCCTCTTTAATGTTTATTTATATTTAGTTATATATTACATTTAGAAACTGCCCATCTCCGTCACAGAGCAAATCTGGGAAGTGCATACTCTTGGACTACAGTTCCCATCATGAGTACTGGCCGCACAAATTGTGGCTAAAGACAGCTGGCATCAGGAATCATATGATACTATGTTTTCTGTATTTCTGGACAAGTGGAGCAAGAAACTGAAATAGTATTCCAATGATCAAAGAGAGTAGAGCTGAACATTGGTCACCCATTTCCATCAATAAAGGTAGTTCAAACAGCACTGCTAACTATAATAGAAGCAATACTATAGACCACGAAGATAAATTTATAAGTGAACACTATATAGCAGTGATGGCGAACCTTTTAGAGACTGAGTGCCCAAACTGCAACCCAAAACCCACTTATGTATTGTCGGGTGCCGGGTAGGCGTGGCCCGTTGGGTGGGGTTGGCCCATTGGGTGGGGGTGGGCCCATTGGGTGGGCGTGGCTGCGGTGGTAATGGCAGACTGAGTGGGACTAAAAAGTTCAATCAATCAGTTCCAACTTTGTGAGATTTTTTTTTTTCCGTGAGAAGTTGAAATTGATTGATTGAACCTTTTTTTTTTTTTTTTTTGCACATGGTGGCAGAGGCCTAAAACGAAAAGGGTTTATAAAACCCAGCTAAAGGCCTAGGACTGGGGCGACGGCGCGCGTACCCACAGAGAGGGCTCTGTGTGTCACCTGTTGGCATGCGTGCCATAGGTTCACCACCACGGCTAATAGCAATAAGAAAGTCACATTCTAGTTATGGGAATAGGCCACTCAGGGCTGGAGCTTAGCTTCTATGCCAGCTTCTCTTTAGATTAGGTTTTTAAGTCATTGGAAGCAACACATAACTTGCAACTGTTACATAACAAAACTAACAGCTAAGAACCAGAGTGAAACATTTGCCTTGGATTAAATATTTAACTTTGGTTTTAAATTCTAACATCTCCATTTTCCTAGAAATCCTTTATTACTTATGGAAAATGAATCTGCAGAAGCATTGTTTTGTTTCTGCCTTTTATTCATCCTCAGCTCATTTCTGAGGCCCTTTACAATATATGCCTTTAACATGAACCTATGAATATTCATAGTTTACAGACCAATAATCTTTAAAGCAGGTGCAGACAAATTTACCTCAAACTTCCTTTTTCGGGCCTTTCCTTTAAAGAAAAAAAGATTTCAGTAGACTCCAATTCCTTTCCCTTGTGTAATTTTTATAGGAGGAAGAAAATCAAGATGCGAGTTTCCTTGTTCCTTCCAGCAAAAATAAAGTGCAGTTTTGCAATGCAGCAAAACCAACCACAACGATGGCTCTTTCTTACTGCCTAAAGCAAGATCTAAGAGGGTGGATCCCAGATCATAGCTGCATGTAACTTTAAGTGATTCATCAGCCGTAAGGAGTCTTCTCTCCTCTCAATGCCTCTGCAAGCCAAATATACAAGCTGGTCCCTTGATTCTAACCAGGATGGAGAATATTTTGGCAGCCGGGGGAGGCATGTCTAACATTTATAGGAGAGCTGAGGGTCACAGTAGATGAAGTGTTAATACCACGTAGGTAGGAACCATGCTTTTCTTCTCAATATATAAGGGAATGTTCATTTGTGTTCCTGAAAATCTGGTTAAGGGATTAGAAACATGGTTTGCACATGGCTTCTATGGCTGGCCTATGTCTCAAAATGGCAGGAAAGTGCCACTTTCAACAATTGCAATCAGCAATTTAATAAAAGAATTCAGATGCTCTATAGCAGGGGTGTCAAACTGCCAACCTGCGGGTCGGATGTGTCATGCCAAAACCGCGCCCACCCCATTTCCAACAATGGGGGAAAAGTCGCAATACATCATGACACATCATGTAATGTCACAAGTTTGACACTCGCTACAGTGTCTCAGAATTTTAGGTTGTCTATTCGACCAATTATAAAATTCAATCACACCTTAGAAAACCAACAGACATCCTTTGGCCTTGTGGAATGACTGACCTGCTCAGCCTTCTGGTGGAAAATAGCCGACATATCCAGCAAGGTGCTGCGTTCATCCAAGGCTGCAGCAAATGCTTTCCATTCCTGTTCCAACTGGTTGGCAATCTGCTTGATTTGTTGTGAAGCATAGTGACCAGACTCCACCAAACGATTGGCTACCGACATTATGCGATTTATATTCACGTACACATTCTATAAAAAAGAAGGAGGCAGACAAGATTACTGAGGGGTCTAAAACTTGATGATTTGACTTAAAAACCAGCATCAGCCAAGATAAAAGCTTTCTGCTAATGTCCTTACAGTAGGCTCCTTGCTTAAGGTCTACATCCAGATAAATTCTCCAGTCCTATTATTTAGAAAAAAAGTATACTTCCAGTATGCTGAATTAAAAAGACAAAATATTGAGTTTTTGTAAACACTATTCTAAAAGTAGGCTTCTCTTCACCATTGCTTATACTGATTATTGGAAGCTTCGACTCAACTATATCTACAGGGCTCTCAGTACCTTATCTCTGTTGTATATTTTTTACTATGGGCAAAATAAACCAAGGCAGGGAGAATACAAATACAAAGGAACCCAGAGCTTAATCAATATAAACCAGATTTTCTTAAAAACAAAAACAAAAAACCAAGATACCCTTGTTGGTGGGAGCTCTGCTATCAAATGCATACTACTATGGACCAATCATATCAAAAATACTCCCCAATAGGAAAAAGATGAAGTCGTGCTTTTTTACGTGCATGACAAACATTAAATGATGGCTCTGGTTGCAAGTTGAAATAGAATGGACAAGAAACTATTCAGTGCCAAGGAGAGGGGAAGTCATAAGAAAAATACCGTAAATTATCCTTCAACATGAGTCAGGTTTTCCTCTGTCACACTCTGCATTTTTACTATATTTTGTGTGTAAGTCAATGGTATTTTGTTTTCAACTTGATTTGTCAAATCATCTCAACTTACACTGGCTTATAACAACATACTAAAATGCAGTAAGTTTTTACCCAATGCAACACAATACAGTATACCACAGTACTTTCCGAGAAAGAACATTGTGCTGGAGGACGAGATGTGGTGACCAACAGCATTCTGATAAAGAGGTGCTTTGTAACTTCTGAGAATTTATTTTCTGAATGAGCAAGCTCTCCCTTCCCAAAAAGGCAAAGAGAGCTTGCACATATTTTCAGATTATAACATTACTCATTAGGCTAAAAGATTGGGAAATCCTGAGCTACATTGGTCTAACTGAAACCCAGGAAGCTATTGCCAAAAGCAGTTATCTGATGTGATACTACTAGCTTCTTATCTTTGATTTTAAATGATTAGGCACCTAACATGGGATATCTGGCACCGATAGTTCAATCGTAAGAAAACATAATTGACTGTCCCCACGTTTTAGGACTCTCTATTGAATTCTGGAAAAGTAAAGAGAAATGTCAAATATTTGTGCCAATGCCATTTTCAACTCACTGCCACCTGTTTTAAGGAGCAGTAGAAAAACTGAGCTAGAGGGAAACACACTAAGGTGAAGACAAACCCTGGACTGATTTGGACTGATCTGAACAACTAATGTTAATAGTGCATCTTTTGTTTAAAATATTCTTTCAAGGTTGCATAAGAGGCATAAAAACTGCTTATTACAGGGTAATTTTAGAAAAAAAAAACCCAGAACTTCAGGTCTGGGTGGGAGAGAGACTTCAAGAGAAGAAATGAATTTCAGACACTGGTCTTCCAGTTCAACTATATTCTTGACCTGACTTCATTTACTTTAGAATTGGATGAGAGATTTCACTTTCACCATAGCACAAAATCAAGCTTGTCATTCTATAATCTGATTAAGTAGGCATCTTCCCAATGCTAAGAGAATTATATATAGAAGCGTGATAATGGGGAAACCATTTTTCAAAAATTTAAGTATAAAGTTTTGCTTTCTTCAAAGTAGGCAATGGTTCTCCTGAAAGAACTACAGCTTTTAAAGGGATTCTCCTTCTTGTTTTGTTTATTCAGCTGAGAGGAGCCTGCTTCAGTAAAATGAACCTGCTCTCCATAAATAAGGCAGAGCTGAAAGAGAGAAAGAGATTTTGTTCCAGAAAAGAGACACTATAGATTGTGTTGTCTGTTGGGACAGATGTGACTGATACATCTGTTAGGATCATATGAGTATTAAAAAAAATCTTAATTTACATAAGTTTCTATTTTTCTCTAGAAAAAGTTTAACTCTTTTTGAAGCCTCCCTTTCATAAGTGGCATATTGCAAACTGATTAGTAATGATCAATCTAAAGTTGAACACGACTTCATATGAATAAAACTTTAAGGAAAATATAAGATTCTACTAAAGGCTATAACTTTCACATTTTCTTCTTCAAAAGGAAATTCTGATGATGTTACCTAGTCAGGTAATGAATTATCTGCAAGCAAAAAATAAAGTGGAGAGAGCACCAAGGACTCCACAATTCAACCTTAAGTTACATAAATTCAGTTCTGTTTTAAGTAAGAAAAACCCAAACAGACCTCTTGATAAGTAGCCCTAAGAAGTTCAAAACTGCTGTCAAAACAGGTCACATCTAAACTGCAGAAATTCAAAACTGCTGTCAAAACAGGTCACATCCAAATTGTAGATCCAAATGAAAGTAATGCCCAGGAGAAACAAGCCACAACTTAAAAGTTGAATAAATCCTAGCATTTGTTTTATTAATGCATTTCCATTTCAAAACCCCTTTTAAGTACTGTCAGTTAAATGCTAGGTCCCTTCAGCCATTAGGTTTGAAATGTATTTTACTCTTCCTTTGAGAATTCTATGAGTTACCTATTCCCTTCCAAACTGTACAACATCTGACTCTGTGTGTGTTTGTGACAGACAGACACACATCCACACACACTGTATAGTACTTTTAAATATTACTTCAACTTTTTGAACAGTAGTGTCTAGAAGTTTTATATATTTACATATATAAGTGTAAGTGTATCTAACACACACACACACACACACACACACACATGATTTTTCCGTTAAGTCCTCCTTTCCATTTGTATGTTACATAATCGAGCAAGCTATGTTCTTCCCAATCTCTCTTCTCTGCTATTTATTTACACTGGACCTTCCATTACCCTGCTTTCAGTGAGAATCAGAAAGCAAAGCTCTGTATTCTTCGATATTAAAAAGAACAAGGTGTATCAAAAAAACGAAGTGCTCTTGCAAAAGTCTTACCATACAGTTCATAGCAAAATGGTTGTGCTGTGTCTGAAGTTCCATAGCATGAGGGTGACTGGCTCCAATTTCTGTGTAGCTGTTCAAAAACAGCCCTTTATTGTGTGTGATCCAGTCAAACATCTAAAGAAAGCAAAAATTAATGTTCAGCATAGAAGTGCACAGAGGCTTAAAACATTTGCCGATTATCATATAAATGACTTACAATTTTAGCAAAGCTTCCTAATGGTACAGCGCTGAGCAAGACAGTCATGTAAATAACCATTCAGGTAGCTAGTAACAATCGCCTTGAGGCAACTAGTCGGCTCTTTTAGTTTCTCAATATGCCTCAAATATTAACCTAAAGATAAAAGGCTAGCTAGGCAAAAAGAAATTGATAAAAGTGATACATGCATGACTCATTTTGAAAAGATGAAGTAAGTATAAAGGAGCACTACCCCAAAAGACACAATATCTGTCAAATGCAAAATTTGTTGAAACACCCATTGAAAAAAATGTTTATTGATGTACCAATGAAACAAGATGAAATAATCAACCTGGGCCTTATATTCTACTTATTTGGTTGAAAATATGTTTGCATATAACTCTCCAAAATGTGTTTAGCTGATGTGGGCTCCCTCCCTCCAATGGATTAGGTAAGATTTCAAACGATGAATAAACTGAAAAAGCAACTATTTAATGAAAATAGGAAACTTCATTTATAAGAACTTCATAAGAACTTGGCAGCATACCAACAAGCATTAACAAATTGAAGAGCATTATCAACCAATATGATCATATTGATCACCTCCACCTTCAGTTCTATTTTGGACACTTCAAAGTTTCTGAAATGTCTTCAAAATTAACCCCAACTGTAACTTGCCAGAGCAGATAACTGATGTCAACATATTCCTGTTTGGAAAGTACTTCACCCTAAGCAGACTGTAGGCCACCAAAACCACCAATGACACTAGTGACAGTACTGGATCCAGGAATATCCTCAGTTCATTATTTTAAGAATAGTGCAATCCTTTTCAGAACAGGCCAAATGTGGTCCATTTGAGCAGAGGTGCCATTCGCCAAGCGCACCTCCTTGTCTGGACAGAACTTCATTCATTGGGCTTCATCACTTCTATGCTGAGCCACTGATCTGGGGTATTTACTGCTACACCAGTTTAGATGGAAAAGTAAGGTAAAGCTGCATATCAACTGTGTATTGTTAAACTAAGCACACTACTTCAAATTATCTCCCCCAATGGCTTTCACATAGATATTAAATTGTATGGGCATAAAGCTGAGGACCACTGTGATCTTGCTGCCATGGAATAGGGGTATAAGACCACAGCTCCACCTTCTGAGAATGTTTAGTCAACTAGGAGCGGAACTGAAAAAAAAAACAGTGCTTCTATCTCAGGGAGTTCCAGAAGATACTACATCAATGCTATTGAAAGCTGTTGAGATTTTGAAGATAATACATAAATCTCTGTTCTATCTGTTACTCTCGCAGAGAAATAGATGACCAAATTTGAAATGAATCTGAGGAAATCAACTTCATGCAGGAATGCTTGGAGTTGGTCATCAACCACACACTTGAGTATCGTATCTGAAAATAAAGATAGGGTTGCTCATTTTTTCTTTATTCTCTACTCTGTGTCCATGTTAGATTTCTTCATTAGTGGCCTGGTTCTTGCTTCTTTCAAAGGATCTGATCATTATCAGAATTAATAATAAAATGAATTAATGACTTCTTCAATTCAACTGGCTATCTCCTTCTTACTAGATGTAACAAATCCAGACAAACAAATACAGTTGGTTTTCATTTAGTGACAACTGGGACTGGAAACACAGTCATTAAGTTGAAGTGCTCACCAAGTGAAACAATGATTGTGCTTATGATTTTACTTCAGCATTCCTTCCCCTTCCAGATCTATGAAGGTCGTAAATGTGAGGAATGGTTGCAAAGTTACTTTTTCATCATCATTGTAACTGCAAATGGTTGTTGTTCACAGCAGTCTCTAATAAGGACTACCTGTACTATAACTGGTTGAATTTCTCCATGAGAATAATCTTCATCTTCTGGCCTCAACAATAGTGGACTACATAGTGCTGTGGATACCTCTTGCAAAACATTTTCATTAATTATTAAATATCAGATGTGGCCAAATTTACCAGATGCCACCCTTTACCATATTAAGCCATGAAGGGTATAATCAATTCCCTTTCGAGGTCAAAGTATTAAACATGCTTCACAAATCAGAACAACTTAAAATATAATGAATGGTAGAAAACAATTGCCATAGAGTAAGCTCAGTAATGAATTTTCATACTACTCATTTAGATTTGTCATATGTTTCCTTCATTTGCTTCTTAGCCACTGTTCTACTTACTTTATTGTTGTCACTCCAAGATAACCAGGTAATTCTGGCAAGCTGAAGGAGATGGTGGCTAAAAGCGGGGGTGGGGAAGGATAATTTATGATTTTTTTGATTAAACAAATTTATATGGCCAGCCAACTCATACACAGCTTACATCATTAAATTATCACAATGTAAAAACCCATAATCCTCCCACCTGCCCCAGTATCATATGGCAATGGGCCAAGTCACAGGGCTTCAACTCAAGTGCCTAACATAACTGGAAAATCATGAAAGCCACATTGCCATGGGGAAATGACACTGATAATCTCCACGGAGCAATCTGTCCATGACAGTGGGGTGTCAAACCCCCAGCCCAGATCAGCAGTTTCCTGTCCAACTGATGATTTCTTCAACATGTCAAGTCAATGACATTCTTGGATAGTTCCATTTGTTGTAATGATATCCATAAAATCCTGGGTTGCACTAGACTGACTAGCTTCAACCCTTACATTGTGCTCCCCCAGGACTACCACTTGGGAAGGCTCTGAGATCATACCATCTGTTCAGGGAAGGAGAGTGCTGGGCCAAAAGATAGGACTGAAAAATCTCTCCATCTCCTTCAGTGATTCCAGGAGCAAATAACTAACTTGTTGACCCTGAAGACACATTTTAACTGAGATGTTCAGAATTTCTAATTCTATAGTGTAAGTTGGTTGAGAAGAAATGTCAACATTTAAATTCAGGCAGTTATAAAATATATGCCTTTTTAAAAATAAATAATAAAGTGAAAGAAATGGATACCCAAGATTAAATTAAAAGAAACCCTTGAAAATTCTCAGGCTACATTTGTATTAATATATTACAGGATATTTCAGAGTTAGGTTTGTTCAAGGTAGATTGGAAATTCTAATTTGAACTAAAATATTTCGGACATTGACTCATAATTTTGAACAAGATACTCCTATTCTAAATTTGATGTTGATATGTGCTCAACTAGATAGCTTTATTGCTTATATGTTTTAATTTACTGCATGCTATATTTGAGATTTGAAAAGCGAGAGTGTCAATCAATGTGAAGTTTTGGCATGGCTATTTGGAATTTGTGGGATGAGAATTAAAACATCTAATTACAACTCATTTTAAAAAGGTAGCTAATGAATACCTACTATTTAGTTTATTTGGTATAGGCGCACTTTAAAAGAGTCCTATAAAAATATCCAAATAACAATATCTCGGGGGGGGGGGGCGTTCTCTTCTTTATAATCTTTTAAAGCTTTGATGTTCTAGCCATAATTCTTTGCTGGTACAATAAACAAACACAACTACTCTCCAATGCTATGTGCTTGAGTTGGAGTTGGGATTCACCATCCGATTTGTCTGTCTTATCCCTCTAAATATAAACAAAGTAATAAAGACAACCAAGATGCCCCAAACAGCTCTAAGAGTTTGAATGTAAATCTAAAGCCAACTGCCCAGGTGCCTTTACTTTAATAGCAAAGATTAAGCAGGAACTCCCAGCAGATACAGATATTGTTTCAAAAGTACGTTAAAATTATGTTGTAATCAAACACAGTTCAATTTGAGCTATGGCATCTCCAAATGCCCAAATACAGAATTTCTTATGGAATAAATGTTCATGGACCAGTCTAGTTCATTATAATAATGATAATCAGACATAGGAAACCTGAAATATAAATACAATGGCACACACATGTTTTTGCTTAGAATAAAATAGCGCAAAACCCAAATGTATGTTACATTCTAACAACATTCTTTTCACTTATTTAATTCTCCAGGGTATCCAGCTACAGAAGAAAAGCATGAGGTTAGAATTTGTTCCAACTCATGTTTATCGTCTCCTGTTGTCACTGGCAAAAAGGATGAATCAATCATATATTTCCAAATGCTTCTTTCCAGCCCCTGCTGAATCTTAAATTTGGGGAACATTTCCTGCATGTATGGGATGCTGGATCAATGTATTTTCCAAGCAGGAAATCTGTTCCCATGTTAGGATATAAATTAGGTAGAATCTATTCAGATCTTCTCAGCTATTCAATCGGGCTAAGAAAGTTTGTAAACCTCTAACAGAGAATACCATATATTTTCTGAATTATCTATAAAAATGAAATCCAAACAATGGAATATTAAGACACGGCTAAAAACAGGGACATGCACAACATTCCAAGTCAAACTGTTTTCAAATTCAGCACTTCCTATTTCCTATTTATGCTTCAAGTATGAAACAATTTTTTAAAGATGTGAAACTGCTAGTTTCCAGCATTCTGGAAGTGTTCCTAGCTCAAAACAGAGTAGTTCACACTAATAGGTGTCTCAACATACTTGGAGTGACTGTTTCCAACTACAGGCAAAGCACGCTGCATTTAAAAACTGGATACTTCAGATTCAAAAATATTCAGTGTTTTTCATACTCTTTCCTCCAAATCCCTATTACTAGCTAATAGAGAAAGACCCTATTTTAGGGCTGAAATTAGAATAGCCTGAAAGGCAGTGCAGCCTATGCCTTTTATTTGACTTCTACTTGTAGATGCTTTAAAAAGCTATTTCAACAGAAGCGAAGGCGATTCAGAGTATATAATTGTCTTGAGACTTTTGCAATATTTTAGCCACTTAGATGAAAATATATGGTTAAAAACTTGCTGGGTCTCCTGAAAAAGCCCACTGTGAAAGAACTTTAGAGATGTTGATTTTCAGCCCAGAAAAAAAAATGGCAGGAATCCCAAAAAAAGAACAAGCTACAGTAATAATAGTGAATTGGTTATTATTTTATTGGGCTGTTTGTTCTCTGTTGGTTCTTAATTGCAAACCAGACTTGAAGCCAACCTTGGCTGAGAACAGCATGTACATATGTGTAAGGGTAATAAGATATCTCACTCAAATCCCAGTGTTATGATTAATTTGCCCAAATCATCAAATTAGCTAGGTTAAAGTGATTTATAATAACAATAAAAATAAATATTTTACTCCAGTATCTTATGCTTTTTCCTAGTCTTACTTTTTAGATATAGCGAGTTCCTACACCGTGATTTATTCTGAATTGAGCAAAAGATTGGTATCCAAATTACCACCAATCAAGCACCTATCAGAATAAAAAAGGAGGGATAAAAATAAACATTTAATTTAAAAAACCTGCCAGATTATAAAAAAAAAATTAAGGGATCTAAAAATTAGAGGCCAGAGTTCCACCTACCTCTTTTTCTTTCTTTAAGTATGTGTGCATGTATGTATGTCTCTCTACGTCTGTGTGCATATAATTTACTACTGCCTTCCTTAAATTGGTGTCCTCCAGTTGTACTAAAAGAATCCCACTTATCTGGTGGGCATCAGCTTGGAAAGGCTGCTAAAGAACAAGCTTAACAACTAATGGGGGCTTTGGCAACATCATACTTTGCTAGGAAAGCCACCTCTTCTTTCTGCAGCATTAATCATCACATACTTCCTATGCCTGAATGGCCAGGAGAACAGATGAATCATAAAGTCTAGGTTTTAAAAGGGAAAAATGCAGGATGCTTCCACAGAATCAAGTGCTAATATATACGGCCCAATCGCCTTAAAACAGCTCATAAAAGTTTACATTTACCTTCTCTGCATCCTGCTCAAATAGCCTGAGCTGAAAGCATTGGTCTAATTTCAATTTCCGTACGTGCCACATCTGATGCAGATGCTGCCGTGTTGAGTGCAGCCGGTCCAACATAGTAGATACTTTCGGCAAGAGATTCTGAAGATCCACGTTTCCAGACCCGGAGTTCTTTTTGGGGAAAGTCTCACTGCTTTGTATCCTCTGCAGTAGCTTTTGCCCTTCCAAGTCCAGATCCTCGATAGGAGCTTTAATGACTTTTTTCTTCAATTGTGAATGCTCCTCTATCATACTCCGGGCTGCCTCCAAGTCCTGAGGCAAATCCTTTTTGGCCAATATATCCTGCAGCTCCTCCAACCTAGAGAGCATATGAGTGGCATTGCTAATATAATCCTCAAAGGCAACTCTGATTTCTATCCATTCTTCGTGGTTATATTCCAAACAGCCATCAAATTCGTGAGTTAACTGAGAAGGGTCGACAACTTTGGTAAGGCCTTCCAGAGACACCATGTTTGTCTAAAAAAGCAAAGATTAATTGTTAGCTATGCGGCATGGTATATTTAAGCACACATATGTGCATACTAGGCGCTATTGCAAATAACATATATAAAACACAATAAGAAGAACATGAAATGACACCAGCTTTAATTGTTCTACTTATCACTCTACCTTTTCTTCCTCTATGTGGGTTTCTTTCAACACGTTTCATAAATGGGATATTAATTTAGACTAGGCAAGATCATTCCAAAGCATGATCATTCTAAAGCAGCCAGGTTTCCCAGTGCTATGGCTGAACCAAGATTTAACTAGATATAGCCTGTCTATAGACTTTTTTTTTTTATCAAGAGGTCGCTTGGGCAAAAGATAAGGATCAATTTCAGAATCTGGGGACCAAAGTATAACATGAATATAAAGAGCTAACTCATCTGATCCCATCTTGCATTCATAGGTAGCTCTCAACTGAAGGCATACAAGAACAAACTCGGTTCATTACAGGAATTGGAACCAATATTTTCCACATTAAGTGATGTGGGCGTAAAGCATGACCGTGCGACTGCAATGCTTGGCAATGGCAATCCCAGCATTCCCCATTCCCATTGTTAAATGAGGATCTTGGGTTATTAAGCCAGTCCCATACGGCTTGCAAGAAGGCTGGCAGGCAAATAAAGCACGATGAGGCTGGGGATGGCTGCTGTCTAACAAGGGAGGGTGTGCAAGCAGCTCGCAAGGCATGGCACGAGTGTGGCAGAGTTGGAGTGACTGCTGCCTGGCGGGTGTGAGCAACTTACTGGATGATTTGCAACCTTTCCTCTGCTTTCCCCATTGACTGGGCTGGTGGGAAGCCAGCAGGGAAGGTTGTAAATTATGGTCATCTGACGGGGAGGGGATTCTGCAACCACTATAAATGCAAGCTAGTTGGCAAGTATCTAGACTGGAATCACATAACTGTGGAGGTGCTGTGACAGCTGGAAGTTCAGTGACTGGTCATAAGCCTCCTTTTTCAGTGCCACTGTAAGCATGAATGGTCACTGAATGGTCAGTAATCAGTGACTACTTATGTATATTTTTATGTATGTGTATAGTGGCATAAAGTCTAATAATGATGATGATGATGATGATGATGATGATAAAAGCATTCCCCCCTCTGCAACTAACACAAATTAATGCCAAGTACTAAACTCATATCTGGAGTCAACTACAATTCCCAGTAGTCAAGATTACAATGTCTTCTTAAATTATAAATATTTAATTTTGCTTCCTGAAAAACTGTAGATGAACCCTGAAAGTTCTCTCTAGAGAGGGAGAACTGAGACCGCAGTGGACTGAATCCCCACTTAAATCTTACTAATTTCATGGATGAGACAAAACTATCTCTTCTGTTGATCTTAAAATCCAAGATGGTTTGCTGGTAATTTGCTCTTCTGGTGAATTTTAACACTATACCAGAACAAACTTCTATACTGGTTTATATTTCGTGATTGCTCCCACATAGCTTGCATCATGCAATCAGCTATATGAACTAGGAAATCTCATTTCAATGTTCTCCTGAAAGTCAGAATCTGAAGCCAAAATTTGGATTTATAATTCCATGCAAAGGCAGCCAATATAGGAAGGTACAAAATAAAATAGTCTGAAGTGTCTATTCAGAATTCTAAATTCAGATTTACAAATTTCACTATTCTTGTTGCAAGAGCCCAAAAAATAAATTAATCCAAACTGGAGTTATCACAGAAGCAGGGAATAAGGCGATGCCAAGAAGCTCTACTTCCAATATGAATATGCCAATTGGCCCTTCTCTCTGGAACCTTTATCTAATGCACAAATGTCCACAGGGAAGCATTACAACTCGTGGAGAAGCATCTGTGTGTATTCATAACAGAGCACAGGATGTAATCTGGCTCAGCATTGTATGACCATTATACAAGGCCCCCACAAAGACAAGGTGCATATAAAGCCCCTCTCTCTCTCTCTCTCTCTCTCTCTCTCTCTCCTCTCCTCTCTCTCTCTCTCTCTCTCTCTCTCTCTCTCTCTCTCTGGCTTTTCAGAGCACACAAAATGGTGATGGTGCAAACCAGCAGCTTATCAAAATATAGGTACTTTACAGATATTCTGCTTCAAAGCTCTAGGCCCAAACAACAGTCACCACCACACTCCATCCTCAAACAAGTAGCAAAGGAGAAGGCAGCCCTTCCTACAAAATTAGAAGGAAGTTCAGTACAAATATCCCAGTTCTCTTCTTATAGCCTCTGCTCTCTGAAAAAATATGTAGAAGCCTAACATTTCACAGCAGCAAATCCTCCCACACGTCAAAAAAAGTGATGAGCTTCTCCTGCTAGTATGTCTTCTGCAAAGGGCGATTATTCAATTCCATCCATTGCTGCTGCACTGATCAAGCCATCCTGAACACTGTTTTATTTGCTTCATTCAATCAATCATCCAACAGCTAACACTTCCCTAAATGACATACAAAAAGTGGATCAATTTAAGAAACACAATTCCTATGAGCTATAGTTGCAGCACATAAAAAGCAAATAAGTAAATAAAATAGTACCAAGACAGGTCATGATGGATGGAGTATACCCATCCTGCCCTCCTTGGCCTCTTAAGCAGCTTTCGTTACCATCATTTCTGGAAACTTCCTGGCTGATGGAAGTGGGTTGGGAATAGGAGGCAGATTCTGCCAGTGGTTCTCCATTTATAGATGGTTCCAGTTGGAGGTGGGGATGGGATCCATCCCTCGGTCTGTGTTTTGCACGGCACTAGAGGGTTTAATTTTCTTCCCATTGAAATATATTTAAAAACCCTGGGTGATGTTATCTATTAGCATGTATGCTAATGATAGTTGCACATCTACAAATGATGCCTAGAGACTATTCAGGTGTGGATGAGGAAGATTTGGCTTCAGCTCAACCCTGACAAGACTGAGTGGATGGGGGTTTTATACTCTCACTAGCAGGTCTAATGAGTTTCCATTCATAACTCTGAATGGGGTTACAGCTCCCCAGGGAGAGTTGGTGTGCAATCTGATGGTTTCTGCTTGAGCAATAGGTAGCAATTGTGGCAAGGAAAATCTTTGCACAAATAAACCTTGCCCATCAGTTGCACCTGTCCCCAGATGGGGAGCCACTGCTTACAATCATCTTAGTCTCCTCCCAGTTGGATGATTGCAAAGCGGCTACCTTTGAAAAGTATTTGGAATTTTCAGACTAACCACAATGCAGCAGCATGTGAAGCAGTGGGCACCCCATGATACGTGCACATAAGGCCAAGTTGCACTACTGGCTCCCTGTAGGCTTCTAGGTGCAATTCAAGATGCTGGCTTTCATTTTTGAAGCCCTGCATGGCAGAGGAGCAGATTATTTGTGGGACTGCTTATCCCTTGTGGTTGATGCCTATCTCACTAGATCTGACAGAATGAATATGATCCACTCTGCTTTGCTGACATAATGTAAATGAGGAGGAGATGCTGATGCAACCGAAGTCACTGCAAAGTAAGAATATTCAATGGGGGTGTAGTGTGGAGGAAGGCATGGGCTGGGCCGCCACAAGCACTGCTCTTGCTTCTTATACATTCTAATACTGGGAAAACATATTCATATATGTTCATATATTCAATGTAAAATATATTCTAATACTGGGAAAATATTCAAAGACTACATGTTCCTCGATACTACTCATTAGTCTGCTTCCAGTGAAATATTTGTTCTGCAGAAACTGGTTATCCTTACTACCGCTCATTTCACCAGGCCTGTAAAAAAGACCCATTTATCAACAGCAGCAATGCCTGGAATGTTCTGCGCTATTCCATCTCCCAAGGCATTCAGCAATATTCAATGGGACAAGATTACTGTCTCCTGACCAAGTCCTTGACACATGATTTTGCATCAGAAGATTACCGTTAATGCTGGCGTACAAGGCGACCCGGCGTATAAGACGACCCCCGTCTTTATAGCCGGGCCGCATTCCTAGAACGTCATCTTATACGCCAGAAACTACCAATATTTCTGGCGTATAAGACGACTCGGCGTATAAGACGACCCCCGTCTTTGGCGCCGATTTCAGCGCTCGCGGAAGTCGCCTTATACGCCGGCATTTACGGTATATTCCTAACACCAAGCTAATACCAAATGCCATGGACCACAGCAGAGGAGGAGCCAGGAAAATCACCACTTGCAACCATATATTGAGACTCTTTATTAATAAACATTTTTCCATGTTTGAATAGCGGACAGATATCCTTAACAGCATGGTTCCTCATTAGTAAGCAGAGGCAATACTTCCAGCCAAGCTGGGTCATGACTGGCGTTTATGTATTTTCTAGTTTATTCTTTTATTGCAGAAGGAGCTATGTATTTAATGACTGCTTAGAAGATGAAGCAATGCTGTATCCTTTTTCCTTTACTCTAAATATAGCTAACTTGCTCTGTAATTTCCTCCTCCCACGGTCCAGCAATGCAGATTTTCTTTTTAAACAAGTGCAAAATATTAAATCCATAAATGTCTGGAAAGGAGACTCAAAAGGCAGTTTTCCCTTTGCCTGGTGCGCCCAACGCTGCAAAAAAAATAAACCCCCCATTGCTGCAATACATTACCTCAAATTCAAACTTGGAGCTGCCAAAGTTAGTCCGCTGTTTCTGCCAAAAGTTATCTGGCTTGATTATCAGTGCAACGTGAATGCAACATGGAAAAGATTCCTGTAGGATCTTCAAAAGTGGCTTAATAGAGTCCCATTTTGATCCGCGCATATCTACAATTACTGTGAAACCTCGCTTGCAAACCTCTTCACTAGAAAGGAAATAGAACAGCAATTAAAAAAGGCAAGCTGTATTACAAGAACAAACTTGATAATTCATCTGTCAATTGTGCTTACACTTTCATCTATCCACCTAGTAGGAGTTTTACCTGTGGAAAGATTGTCCCCAGCCAGATTTAAAAAAAAAAAAAACTTAAGATTTTTATCCAGTATGTTTTAAGATTGGCAGGCAAACTTAACCATGTTTCAGCTTTGTATAAAAGCCCCCCCCCCTCCTCTGCCTTCCCTTTCTGCCACACATCCCCATCTGACTTTCATTTTCTCCTTCAATATTTTGCAAAGCAGGCTTGGCTCTTCTAGTTAGATATTAACAATGCCTAAAATCTGAGTTGCACTGAAACTTTTGAAAAACTCTGCAAATCATAACAAGAAGCAGTTATCTCAAAAGAGAACAATTTCAGAAAAGCAACTTTGTAATATCATGCTTAACGCCATTTCTGCGGGTTTTCTCTGCAACCAATACTTAGAAGATCACAAGGTGAGCTTTAAGCCTTCACCAGTAAGATGTGGAGTTAGGGCCAGGATGTTTTTCACTATTGCTGTTTGCCAAATGCTTGAGCAAAATGCTTGAGTAAAATCACAGCAATGCCCCTTAAAACTAGCTCTAATTTTGTCAAAACCACTTTCGCCCTGATACTTTCATTCCTTCCAGGACAAGCTTTCCTTGTAATCATGTAATTACAGAAATTGCATTACACAGAATACAAATCTGACAGAATGAAAGAATAAAGCAGACTTTCCGGTCATGTTTCCATAAAATATAGCCCGTGTAAACGATTTTGTTTTGCTGCAGAGACACACATAAAATACACAAAAGGTGCCCTTACCTAGGGATGCACGCAAGGTATGAAATGAGCCTCCTAAGGTCCTCTTGTCGTATTCTGTCATGATTGCTTCGAGCTGGAAATGTTAGAATGGGGCCCCCACGCTTATCTCTTCCACCTGAAAAAAGAAACATACTGAGGGCCTGCAGACTGTGGCAAACATTGAAGATAAAGGCCTCTGTCCCAGAGAGAACTGCAATCCCTCGCTATGCATCTGAGCCAAGAATTTGGACAAGACTGCATTTCCACAGAAAGGCACCACTGTATATGTTATGTTCTCAATTAAAAGGCACAACACTAGGGGGAGATATGGATAAGAAAGTTCTTCTTTTACAGCTGCAGAAATTATGCTGAATATACTGGAAGCATTTTATATGTATCTAATTCCATTGGTACCCTTCACCTTGTCAAAAGGGCTGCAAATGGCTTCAAAGAAATTCTATCTGTGAGGACCCACCCCACTTTGCATCTTAAGAAGACAGAACTCTTGGAATAATTCTTCCAACAGGAATCCTTTATTAAGAGAAAATGGTTGCAGGCATGCTAGACAGGACTTGGGGTTCAAGCTCTCCCATTCAAGGTTTTAAGGGGTTCCCCAGTAGTCCCACCCAATCAACCCCCCTTCCAGTGATAGTTTCAAGTATCACAATTCCATCCCCTTTCTTCTTCCGTCTGGATGGAGACTTCAGATAACTACATGAAAGGCAATTACTCTTCTTTGATATGTTAAAGCTTAGAGGCCACAATAAACACACATTCAGTCCTTTGAAGTGTGCTGAAGGAAGTGAGGGCCATAAAGCCCCTTTGCTCTCCCCCTTTTCTACCTCTTATGGCAGAATCCAGAGAAGGCAGAATTGGGAGTTTCTATGTTTGATAATTAAAGATGAAATATAATTGGATTCTGACATCCGGCCCCTCTTAACATTAAGAGAGATCCACCTGAAAGAAAACACAAGTAAAAAATTTAGTTAGGCTTGTTAGGATACTCTGTGTGAAACTTCTTCAATAGCTTCGGGGCTCTGACGTGACGTTTATGGACCCACTCAATTTGTGAGGCAGGGAGGTGTTTCCAGGCAACTAGGTACTGAGTTGTTCCACGATATCTCCTAGAGTCAAGGATCTCTTTTATTTCGAAGTGTTGTTCCCCCTCCACCATGATTGGAGGTGGTGGGGGGGGGATTTTGGCCGTCTAGAGGTGACTGATGCGTCTCTTTTCAGGCAAGCGCACTGAAAAATTCACGGTGTATTTGCTGAGGTTTTTGGGAATTCTAAATTCTTACTGTTAATTGTGATTTATGATCCTTTTTATGAAAAGGGTCCAATAGATTTTGTCAAGTTTTACAGGTGTAGGGACCTTAGGTTATTTTGTAGATAAGTACACCATTTACTCTATAATGAATGTGTAGCTCACACCCTTTTTTATCGGCATGTGCTTGTATGCCGCCTAGGCTAATCTAGTGATTTTCTGACTATTGGCCAGGTGTTTTGTAGGTTTTCCATCCATTCTTTCAGTGAAGGGATCGTTGGTTCTTTTGGGGTTAACTCTGGCATAGGTTTGAAACTTTGGCCGTTGGCTATTTGAAAAGGAGTGTAGCCTGTGCTGGAGTGGACTGCATTATTGTAGGCAACTTCTGCAAAAGGAAGTAAGTCCGTCCAATCACTCTGTTGGAAATTTAAAAAACATCTCCAATATTGCTCAAGTACCGACTGGCAGCGTTCCGCTTGTCCATCTCCTTGAGGGTGGTGGCTAGATGTCAATCCCTGAGTGGTCCCTAAGAGGGATAAAATTTCCTTCCAAAATGCAGACGTAAATTGCACTCCCCTATCAGAGATGATGCGTTGGGGTGCCCCGTGCAATCTGTAAATGTGCTGGATAAAAAGTTGTGCTAAGGCCTTTGCAGTGGGAATTTTTTGGCAAGGGATAAAGTGCACCTGTTTGGAAAATAGGTCCGTGACTGTCCAGATAACAGTATTCCCATTGCTTTCAGGCAATTCCACTATAAAATCCATGGCTATTTCCCTCCAGGGGGCTGAGGGACTTGCACTGGTTGTAACAGCCTGGCGATTCTCCTTGCAAACCTCTTTTGCTGAGCCATAGGTCGGGCAGCTGGCAACCATAACTTTCAATGTCCTTTTTCATGGATGGCCACCAAAATTGCCGTTTAATTAAATGTAAAGTTTTTACAAATCAAAAATGCCCTGCTGATTTTGTGTCATGGCAAAGGTGCATGAAAGTTACTCTTTGAGTTGTTGGTATATATAACTTTTCCCCTATCCAAGGCAACCCGTCTTTCATTGTGCACACATTTTTGTGTTTCTGGAACCAATCATCTGTTTCCAAACTTTTTCTGAATTCAATTCCAGTTTGGCTGTCCAGTTGTGGTTTTAATTTGGCTTGGTTCTTGTGGTTACTGGTGCTGCCAGTTGTGACTCTGCCATTATTGGTCTAGAGTCTGTCTGTGGTTCGTGCGCTGTTATATTGAGGCATGCGAGATAGTGCATCTGCCAGGAATTTCTTTCTTCCTGGTAAATGTTTGAGCTTAAATTGGAATTGGTGAAAATGCTGGGACCAGCGGACTTGTTTGGGATTGAGTTTCCTGGAAGTTTTCAGGGCTTCTAAATTTTTGTGATCAGTCCACACCTGGAAGGGGATTTTGTTGCCTTCCAGGAACTGTCACCACGTGAGTAATGCCCAACGTATCCCATAAGCCTCCTTCTCCCATACGGGCCAGCGCTGTTTTGTTTCCGTGAGTTTCTTGGATGTATATGCACAGGGTTGCAATACTGCATCATCATTTTCTTGTAATAGCACAGCCCCCACTGCCACATCACTTGCATCTGCTGTATTACAAGGGCTTGTCCTGTCTTGGTGCCTTAGTACTGGTCGGACAGAAAAAAGTCTCTTAGCTCTCAAAACGCTGCTTGCAACTCCCATTGGTCCATGTTGTGCCTTGTCTAGGTTTTCTGAGGATGCCTCCTTCGTTTTTTAGTAGTTAGTGAGGGGTAAGGCTATCTGGGCAAATGAGGGGATGAATTGGCGGTAAAAGTTTGCAAAGCCCAGGAAACTTTGTAGTTGCTTTCTTGTGCGGGGTGGCACCCAATCTAATACTGCTTTGACCTTCTCTGGGTCCATTTCAATGCCCTGTGGGGATATGCGATAGCCTACGTAGTCTATCCTTTCCTGGTGGAATTCGCATTTTGAGAGTTTGGCATATAGGTGGGCGGCTCGCAGCTTCTTTAAAACCGCTCTGACAAGGTTGACACGTTCCTCTTTTGTTTCGGTGAAGATAAGAATGTCATCCAAGTAAACAAGAACCCCCTTAAACAGGTGCTCCCTTAGAACGTCATTGATTAATTGCATAAAGACTGCAGGGCCCCCTTGTAATCCAAATGGCAAGACTTTGAATTGATAGCACCCCATGGGGCAGTTAAATGCAGTCTTCCATTCATCCCCTTACTTAATTCTCACGCGACAGTAAGCTTCCCTTAGCTCTAGTTTAGAAAAAAATTTCCCTTTCGATAGGTGTTACAGCATGTCTTTCATGAGGGGCAGAGGGTATAGGTTGCTTTCACTGATTTTATTCAGGGCCCTATAATCCACGCATAAACGTAAGGAGCCATCCTTCTTCTCTCTAAAAAGGACCGGGGCAGCCACTTTAGGCTTGGCTGGCTCAATGAAACCTCTCTAGGTTTTTTTAAATAAATCTTTCCATTTCCTCCTTCTCCTTTGGGCTCATGGAGTATAATCTGGGCTTCGGGAGTTTTGCCCCAGGCTTGAATTCAATGGTACAGTCTGTGGGTCGGTGGGGGGGGAGCTCATTCGCCCTCTCCTCACTGAAGACTTTAGCAAGGTCTCTATATTCCTCTGGTATTTCTGTTAATCTTTTTTCCTCTCCTATGGATGCTTTTTCTATTCTTGATTCTGGTAGCCTCCCTTGGGGTTTTTAGTCCATAGGGTCCCCCTTCGGGAATTTGATTTCTGTCGTCCTCCAATTTACCCAGGGGTTCCATTTTTTCAACCATTCCATCCCTAGAATCATTGGGCATTCCATGCCTGGGGTCACCACAAACGTTATGTCCTCTTCATGTTTGCCCAGGGAGAGGTGTATTGGTGGAGTGGCTAGGGTAGCTGGCACCCCCCCCCTGCTATGGATCCATCTAACTGGCCAAATGAGATTGGTTGTTCCAGTCTCCTCGATGGGATGCCCAGATTACCCACTAGTGTTGGGCTACTGAGGCAGCGGGTGCAGCCAGAGTCTATTAAGGCTTTCACCTTCACAGCTTCGGGCATGGGGGGGGGGATTAATATAGTCACTGTTTTGAAGATGGGTGTGATGCATCCACTTACCAGGGGTTCGCCCTCTGAGCTGTCATCTGAGGTATCCACCGGCCCTGTGGTGTAGGCTGGAGTTCTTTCCCCTGGGTGAGCAGGAGTGGGGGGTTCTGCAATTTCCATCATTCTCATGGCCGTTTCTTTTGGCTTAGCTGAAGACTTTCCGGATTTGTTGATTGGGGATCTGTCTGGGTTGTGCTGGGGGGCCTTTGAGCGGCATTCTACAGCTCAATGCCCTTCTCTTCCGCACTTGAATCACCCCATTTGCTTCTTGGCTGTAGCCGATGATTTCACCGGTTCGTGTGTCAGCTCAGGTGGGGGGCGGCTCCATTGTTTTCCTCGGCGGTGCCTCTTCAATATGTCGATCTCTGCTTCCTCTGCCAAGACGTACCATTCCTCAAGTCGATGTGGGTCCCCTCGGGGCAGGCAAGCATCATATAGATCATATTTTAGTCCGTCTTTGAAATGGCCAAGGAGGATGTCTTCTGGCCAATTCAGTTGCTTGGGGTTCATGGCCGCCGGAATTCTTGTGTATATTCAGCACCGGGCGTTTGCCTGCCTCATCGTTTTTATCCTTTCACCGGCTTTGCGATCGCCCAAGGGTGGGGTCTCAAATTTGTCTTCATCAAGAGTACATGAGACGGGTTGAAGTACTAAGGTTCTGGGCATTGGTTCATGCAAGTTCACACCCATCTGCAGCCGTATCCATCCAGGGCAAGATTGCACGTCCAGATGCGGGCTTTGTCGCTGGGAATGTCCTGCCCATATTCCTCCATGTAGCTGAGTACTTGGGTTAGGAAAAACCCCAAGCGTGTTGGCTCCCCTTTGAATTTCACCTCAACGGTGGACGTCTTGGAATGGATCGGTGCCTCCGTTGTGGGTGGTAGTGTCTTCCGTCCAGATTGCCATCTGTTGTCCGGTAGGGGGTGGGGGCTCCTGGATCAGTAGATGTCCCTGGGGTTGCAGGTTCCACGTCCCCCTCGGTGTCTCTCCCTTTGCGGCTCCAGGAGCTGGGGCGGCCGTAGGGCTCAGTATTCTCCTCTCCTAGGAAGCTGAGAGTTCTCTTCATCAGTCAATAGCTTTCTCTAG